ACGTTGGGCAGGCAGGGGGCTGGCAAGGTGCCGGCACCAGCCTGGGCCACGGTTCATGGTGGCCTCTGTCACCGTATGGCGACGGGAAAGCCCCGTGACGCCGTCCTGACGGGCAGAGCCTCACCGCGCAGCAGCTGCTGACACGACCAGACAAACCTCACAGAGTTCGTCACGTCAAGGTGTGTGGAACCTTGGAAATAATTACATTTCTTCAGTCCTGACTTACAGGTGAAGCTCATGGGAAAGCGACAAAAGGAAGCGACGTGGGGAAAAAGTATTGAAACTTCATTTAACTCTTGCATCTCTGGAAAAGCAGCAGAGATAATCCCTTCCCTCTCAAGGGTTTTGGCTAGGATCACGCTTGGCTCGGCTGAAGCACAAGAAAACCTAAAGGAGCTGATGATAAAACTTGTGAGAGATGTGAGAGAATAAAAGCAAGACGCCACCCGTGTAATGACTCTCCCACACCCTCCAAAGTCAACTCAATACTCCTTGAAGTCTGGTCACTGCTGCGGAATTTGCAGACGACGTTAGTTTGTGTTCTGTGCAAGTCCAAGCCCAAAGCACAGGGGAGGCAGGAGCAGAGCCCCACGCGAGCTGAGCTGCCTCCATCGATCACGGCCCTGCCGGGGGCTGTAACGCACCAGCAGCCCCCTCCCTCGCCATTAATCCACGAGTGCTTTGTCATTAAACACACGTCACATCGAGAGATTACATTTCAATTAAGCATTGTATCAAGAGTCCAATTAGCACAAGGACTGCTAGAACTAGGTTGGCGCTGTATCTGGAGCTCATTTTGTTTTGCCATTTAATTTTGGACAGATTATTTAAAGTCAGCGTTGTTGCCTCACTGTACTGGTTAATTAGTCAAAATGGCCTTTTCTATAGTTTAAGGAAAATATGCAAAGGTGATGGTACAAGGTCTTACTTCCTCATTGAAAAAAGTCAAGGCAAGTTCTAAAAATAAAAGTGCAAGTTCTTTGTGTGCAAGCCTTGCTCCTCGTCCCTTCCTCTAAAAGCGTCATCCCTGCAAATATCCTTAAAAAAATTTCACTGTATGGTCCTGCAACTTCAGAATTCACAGTCAGTCAATATTGTTAATGCACCTTGTTAATTTGATAGGATTTGTCAGGTAACTCCACTGGAAAATTATATAAAACTGTTCCAGATGAACAGATGATAGTGACATGAATTAAAGTGATAGAACAATAGTGGAATATAAACCAGAAATGACACCCAAAGTGGCTGTTGATTTATTGCCATCCTGAGTTTGGTTCTGGGCTTCCATGTATATTAGTGCTACAAATCTGGGTCCATTTAGCAGAGAGATGCTCATACATACATCACCAGCTCCTGCTCCAAGCCAAGGTCACTCCCCATTGCATCAATCTTCTCCGCAGAGGCTACTTCACCACGCACGGGTTTTGTAACCATCTCAGATGTAACACACTTCCTCCTCTTTCATCTTTTTTTATCATGTAAAATACACTTTAACTTCTATTATTTTTATCTGCAAATTGTTGCTGTATACTTCATCCATTATTTCTGTATCTCGACATCACTGGCTTAAGCTCACACACATCCAGAGAGCGCACTGACAAAGAATGTTGTCTTTTTTGTGTTACTGTTCTCACAATCTGTACGTGTTGAAACCTAAAATCAAAACAGTATTATGTATGTGGCTTCTGCAGTCTCTGCATCGCAGCACAAATTAGTCATACTCAAAAAGCAAATAAAAATCCTTCTTCTACTATTTTTTTTATTCATTCACTTTCTCAAAAGAAATGTCATCGGTGTGTTAGTCCAGCAGCACTGCTCTGTTCCTGCTTCCTTTGTTGGGGTCTGCAACTGCCCCCCCTTCCCTCAAACACTTGCCAGCAGTAATTTTCCAAGACAATATGCTGCTTCTAGTTTTACTAATGTGATACACAAGCAAATGTGTCTTATTCCTTCACAACATGCCAGAACCTTTGTAAAAATGCTGGGAGTACTACTGTATGTGCATTACACTGCAATGTGAGCTAAAACATAAAACCCCAGACCTTCAACTGCTTCGGCTGGAGCTTTCCGCTGTAATAAAACCATCTGTCAAAAGGTGGTTGTTCCTCCTGTGGTCATTTGCGTGCTGCTTTTTGCTACAGAACTATACACAATGTACAGAAGACAGAGCTTACGCCAGTATTTTTGGTAAGTCTTGCCTCAAATTCAACCAGCTAAAACATTTTGAAAAGCACCAGTAGCCAAACGGTGCTTCAGGACAGAGCTCACGTTACTGCGCCCTGCTCTACGCAGCCGAAGTGAAATCCAGTACAGGACCTATCCAAATTCAGTGACGCGTGTGTCCTACAGCATCGGAGCAAACCCCATGGCGTGGAGCTGAGGGCCTACACCGGCTGTTTTCTCCACCACTTCTGGGGCTGTGACACGTCAACATCCTTCCCTGGGAAGCCTGGGACGCAGGGACTCGCCGCCAAGGCCACACGGGAGCTCTGGGTGCAGCCGCTGCGCGGTATTTCAGCCGGCCCGAGGGCTGACCCGCTCTCGCACGGCCGCCGACGCTGGCCACACTGCCAATACGGAGCAGAGGGATGGTTTTGGATTCTCAGCGTCCTCTAGAAAAACTGCCACTTTGCTCCGGCTGCTGCATCAAACCGAGGACATAAAAATGCTACGAGAAAAGCCTTCGCAATGGCCGTCGTTAAGCTGACACAGAGTAGCTCCCAAGCACAGTTAGTGACAAGCGATGAAAAAACCCCAGACACCATGTTTTACGTTTCGGACTGTCTGGAGCAGTCTGTCACTCGCAGGAGATGAACAAATTAACACTCGGCAGCCCTCAGCCCAATAGCACCGTAATGTTTATTTTACCAGCACTGCTCTTTTAATATCTTACAATAATTCAGGAGAAACCCCAGCAACATACCCTTCTTTTGGCTTCGTTTAAAGGTTTTGATGCTGTACATGTGCCCTAACTTTGAATACCCCACTGGGGTTTTCTTTGATTTAAAAAAAATAATTAGATTATAAAATTCACATTGTCAGCATACTGCCATCAGAAATCCACAAGTTCACAGCCTGTTATAAAAGGGAAATTTTATGGTCCTTACACCACTGCACAGGGTCAGCTCCTCCACCACTACCCAAGTTAAGCCATTTTTTTCATTTAACAGCTATTCTCCCTTAACCATTTATCTTTAGTGATCTGTCATGACCTTTTCAAGCTCTCATTTCTGACACTTTCCAGATACAGTGAGTCAAACTTCACTGGAAGCAAACTATCACACCCAGAGAGTTTGCTCAAAAGCAGAAAACATGCCCAGCGCTGTCCTGCTTCAGCACCAGCATATAAATCCTTCCTTAACAAGACAGTTCAAAATAAACGAAGAAAGCCTCTCCTGTAAAAAATCTGAGAGACAGACACTTTTGCATGTGCAAATAATACACAGGCTTATATCATCTAAATGTAACAATTCTACTGAATTCTGCAAATAAAGGTATTTTGTAAACACTATGGCACTTAATATTTTACTGCTGAATAATTTCTTTATGGAAGGTATTTGCAGCAATGTCACAGGTCATCTACCAATGCATCATTAATCAAATTTTCACAATTTAAATACAAAGATAAAAAGCCATTCAATCATTTTAGAACAGTAATGGGGCTTTTATAATTCAAGATTCTGTCATCCCTCGGCCTTCGTGTTCTCAAAAGCATTCGGAAAGTTAATAAGGATAATATAAAACCTTTAGAGAATGCTAGTTTTATTTTGTTCCACCTCAAATTTCCACTTCATCATTAAAATCTTTTGGTCTCAGAAAAGGAAAAACCTGATCGTTCCTGATTTTGCACAGCCTCATTTAGAAATAACAAAACAGTTGGCAAGAAGCTTTCCATTAGGAAGCCCAGATTAAAAAAAAAGAGATGAGGTCATTAAATAATGGCCTTCTTTCAGAAGAAACATGTGCTAGCTGATTGTGGATAATAAAAATACTGAAGCATTTTCAACTGAAAGCGATTTTTTTTTAACTGCTGAAACCCTAGCAAGGCTTTCAAGTGATGTGCTCCACGGTAAAATGGACCAACGTGAAAATGACTGCTTTAAAACCGTCCGAGGTAGACAGACAGCTATTAGAGATGGCCAAAGGTTTGAACCGTTCCATTTTCCTACGTGTTATAGGATGGATTGATTTACCTAACTGAACATCAGTGGTGAATCGAAGCCGATGGATCATGCTGACTTTGAAGGACTTGTAGTGGTGGCTACTGAGCATGTCCTGCACGGTAGCTATATCGATCTGCGGGTCCTCCTCCGAGACCTCTTCTCCTCTGGAACCTGCAAAACAAGCCAACAGTAATGAACGGGAGGTTTAAGACACGACTCAGCCAGCACCTACGTAAGGCTGTGACGCCTGAGCTCCAGATGGCTTTTTAAACAAGAACAAAACGCTCGAGTCCGTGTCTCCGGGAGGAGGAAATTCTCCCTCTCCACCCAAAGACAGGCTCACTGATTCATGAGGGACATCATGGCGCACGTTTGCGTCCCACATGAAGAGAGTGCAACACCCTGTGGCACATTTGCGCGTCCCACGAGACACCCCCAGGCAGCCGGCATCCCTGGGGGCTGACCTGGCAGGATCCCCGCCGGGACACCCACGTCTGTCACCGTGGGACGGCGCCTGTCCCCAGTGTGCCTGTCCCACGGTCCCCCACCCCGTGACATGTCCCAGCCTCTCGCTGCAGGGTCTGCCACGCCTCGGGCACCCCGACCTCAGCCTGCGCTACCGAGGCTGTGCTTTATTTACTGATTAGCATTCTCATTACTACTGCAGGTACCGGCTTTATAAAAGGTAACATCTCATTAAGCCAAAATGCCAATTACTGAAAAAATATAACGCACTCTAAAGGTTTTTTTACATTTTATGACGTTGGATTAACACCAATTTCAACATTACTATACTGCGATATATAATTTTGCACAGAGTAATTTCTATGCCAGCTGCTAATAAAGCATCTCAGTTCCAAATGATCATTCAGATCCTGTTAGATAAAGTGGTATAAATATGTTTGAAAACTGATTTAGCTTCTTACAGAAGATACTGAAGAATGACACGTTTTGTTTAATATCCCAGCTAATGTAGTCCTAAAAGCTGAATCAACTGCCAGTTCAGAGTCCTCAATTTGCTGCAGGAGATTAATGAAAACTGTATATTTTGCTGCAATTTTAATAATGGGAAGATGAGATGACGGAATTTTAGCACAGGTCTTAAAGATCCAGCAAAAGCAGGCTAAGAACTTGTCAGACTTTTTCCAGGTCATGTGGGCGGTTTGCCTGGGAAGGATCCTGGGGAGGAAAGCCCTGGCCCTCGGCTGGGACAGGCGCTGCTGCAGCAGAAGCCGGCTCCCTGGAGCAGCGTGGCTCAAGAAGCACACGCCGCTCGCTTCAGCCTGGGGACACTGCCGGGGTGGGTGGAGGCCATAGGCGGGACAAATGTAGGTGAGAAGAAAGAAAAACCCCACCTGCGCATGGAGCGTGGTCCTGGCTGGCTGCGAGCATTCCCTGTGCTATCTGTTAGTTCAGTGACAAATGCTGCTGCTTATGACGAGCATCATTCGGGTCTGTATCAAAGCGAGCTTAGCATTTGCTGCTAAATGAGTCAAAATACACGCTGAGAGGATAAAGCAGGAGATTCACATTTCGGAGGCATCAGCCACACAAGCTCCTCACCCTGCCCGCAGCAGCGCAGCCGATGTTGTCCCCCCGGGCCTCCCGACTGGGCATCTTCGGGGAGGGGGACAGCGAAGGGTTAACCTGCAAATTGGGCTGTGCCATTCGACTTGAAAGAATTCCAAAAATCAAATGAAACAGTCTACATGTGAATTTATGCAGAGCCATCTTAACGTTGCAACCACTCTATGCTCCAGAATGACAAGATAAATTGTAATGGCTCCTTCAGAGACATTACAATGTATTTTGTCAAAGACCCCGGTGTTAATGTCTCTATACTATGGATTATCATAATGTATCATGTCAAACCCGCACGCTGCAGTACTTCAGAGATACGCTGAGATATGTCAAACTTTTTGGTGCACTTAAAAGCATCCTGAAATGCCATGGCACGGCGGTGCCTGCGAGCAGAGAGCAAGGATGGCAACGCCTCCTCTGAAATGCTCTGAAAACACTTCACGAGATCAAGACCCACCTGATTCTCTGCAGGTACGGCCACCCCTCTGCCCCCAGCTGCCCCTCGAACTGCCCCAACCGCACCGACCGCGCCGAGTTACCGGCACGACGGGGCACCGTGTGCCGACTACACAGCCCAGAGTCTTCTCGGATTTCACATGCCCAAATTAAGAGTATTAGAAGGAAAATGAGCTGCCTGCCAGATCACACCCAGGGCAAAATACTGTCACTGCAGCTAAAATGGTGAGCACCTCGCCAGTGCCTGAACTGCAGGAGCATCAACCGCCGCGGCCGGAGCAGCTAAACGGCGGGATTTTGCTCTGGAAGCCTTTCAGATCCTCCGTGCACCCGTAACCTCTGTCGACTTTGTTTTATGAAGCTCTGTGAATGGATTCAGGTTTACAGAATTTCTACAGTTGCTGCTCTTGGGAGAGCAGCCAGGAACTCCGCCATCAAAACAGATCATCTGTCTAAAGATGGCAAAGACACAGGGACCCCTGAGGGTGCATTGGATAATAGCAGTAATATCAGTAACAACAGAGAGAAATGCCCTGCAGGGAAAAACCTGACTGCAGAACTTGGCATATTGCTCTTACCCCGCAGCTCCGCGAGGATGTCTGCGAGACTGCCGGTGCGCAGCAGCGGAGGGAAGAGCCGTCTCCACCAGCTGATTGGGGGAAAAATCATAAAAATATTTTCCACATGCAAGCAGCTGTGAATAAACCTGTCAAATATTTACAGGCCTGTCAGGGTATTTGTAATGGAGATCACAGTGTGGCTTTTGAATGTAAAAGCTTCTGCTTGGGAAGACAATCAAGTAAAGTGGATGCTCCAGGTCTATTATTTCGCCCAAGAGTCGACCCAGGCATATGGCTCTGCCAGCAGAGAGACCTCCGACCCGAAGCAGGGTAGGAAAATCCAGGAATGAGCAGGAAAAGAATGGCCAAGAGGAGCCCAGGCTCCTGCCCCGCCATCCCCACGCCAGGGACAGCGCCCCGTGTGGCGCAGAT